TGCAAATGGTGAGGTAACAAGCTACTGGATCATTGACTCCTCTATGTTTGCAGTGAAATTCTTAACATGTCATTATTCTACATATTCACCTTAGTAGCACAAGGAATTCATAACCAACACACCTACTGAGAACGACAGCCAACCACTTTTGAAGCCCCCATTTGGAACAAAATGTAAAACACAAAAAACCTGCTGCAATAACTTGCCCTTGCAAAAACATTTTGACCTTGCAAGATCCTTTTTTTTCCAGTGACGTAAGCGTGTTCGTTTGAATCGATTCTCACAGAAGCCTGAATTCTGGTTCACCTGGAGTATGGTGATGAAACACAGGACACTGGAATAGGATATTCAGAGACGTGTTATCAATGTAATGGTAAAATGCAAAACTGTCTAATCTGTCTCAGTGATGAACAAAAGGCCTTAAGTGACAAGTGTAGTTCAGAGGTACTATGCAGCGTGAGTGGTGGATTACCCAATGGGCAGAACAGAGATACAGCATGAAAGTTTAACTACAACATAATGATAGAGTGTACACACACTCCTCATGATCTGTGCATAAAGGCCCAACCATGTTTGCCATTTAATAATTAAAGACAATAGTTACATTTGGAATATAATGGAATAATTACCAGAGATCAGAGTTAATAAATATTTTATGAGCCTTTGTATTTGTATTTAGAGCAGGAGGGGGAGGAGATCCCACTGAAATGAAAGTGTTTTTTTATTGAACAAGAAAAGAATTATATATAAATGTGAAGATGATGAATCTGAAGAAGCAAAAAAGAAAATAACCCAGTACTTAATAGAAACTGAAGAAACTTAATTTTCCATGAAGTAGATTGAGTATTGCACAGCAAATGGTTCAATGTTCTGCCAAAATGGGTGCTTGACCTATTTTGGCTGCTCACTGTGTACAGAGCAATTAATCCATCTCAAACTCTCTTCCTGTCTCCAAAGTTTTTTAGTCCTTAGTCCTTCATAACAGCTTGGACACATTATGCAAATTCTTCATCTTTTTATTAAACACATTTACCATTTGATGGCTGCGGCTGCACAGTTCTCTCTCTCCATTACTGCAAGGGGCACTTGTGTTTTGCTTTCTTTATTTTGCAAGTATCATTTGACAACAATTTACCATGTGGCTTGGTGGTTGCACTGACTGTCATACAGCAGAAGGGTTACTGGTTGATCCACTCACCAACTACATGTCCTGTCAGTGTCCTAGATCTCTTTAAACACACTGCACCATGCAAATAGACAAAACACACAAGCAAATTTAAGAAATCATACTCGCCGTTTGACAGCACATGTGCAGCAACAGGGGTCGGGACCCCCACTAGGGCTCGCCAAAGCTTCATGAGGGGGGTTGCGAGGCCTTTTTGATTTTAAGGGGTATAGGAGGGGAAGAGAACAGGGACATGTTTGTGATCGAGGGGCGTCTGCCCTGAGCAGCATCAAGATAAATCCCCAGACACGGGTGGTGGTGGTGGCTGATGACTCTGCTGAGGCTGATGAAATAATGAAGCTGATTAATCTGCAAATACTGGGTGATGGGGGAGGTGGAGGAGCATGCATAACAGCAGCATAAATGAACATATTTCAAAATAAAACAATGCAGGCGTGACGCTATCATGATTGACAGTCCCTGATAATGACAGCAAGGAAACTGCGAGCACAAGAGAGGAGTGAATGCAATGACAAAAACTAGTCTTCCTGACTGAACTTCATTTGGTAGTGCTTCCAGACTTTTTTCTCTAAATGTTGCTCATGTGTTGTCAAATTGATGAAGATGTTTTCTTAATTGGCTTGTGTTTTGTCTGTTTGCGAGGGTTTTCTTAAGTTGCAGTGCGCTGAGCTCTCAGGGCCACCGTATTATCATCTAAATCAGTGATTCTCAACCAGGGTTACTCTTACCCTAGGGGGCACCTCTGCACTTGCTACGGGGTACGTGGAAAGATTGTGAAGTAGCTCAAGTAATAATGAGCAAAAAGGAGACTAAAGAAATTATGATTTGATGAAGAATTGTATCCACAGAGCTGTACTTGAACACCCTGGAGAGTGAAAGGTGCAGTTGAAACTGATGGATAAACAGTTGAAATAGCTCGCTAAAAGCAATCAATAAACATCATTGTGCTATCAAATTATCATCACAATGCTGCTTTTATATAACTAATTGTATTAACATCCAGTTTAGAACCAATGCAAATGACTGCTGGTGTCAGTGAAGGGGTAATTGAGCTCCTCTGACAGGGCTGTGGGGATACGTCTGACAGAAAAGATTGGAAGCCACTGATCTCAATGTCAGAAATATAAAGGAAATAAAAATGTGCTGCATATCAATGGCTGGAGGTTCTGGTGCTGTCCTGCCCCCTGCTCAAGTCTGTCTTATGCAAATGCAGACTGTTTGTCAGATTAGCTGGAGCAACAATCCTTCACTGCCCTAATAAGTCAGTTAGAGTGACTGAGTGTTGTTATTCATCGAGGGACCAGCTTGCCTCTCTGATCTAATCTTGAGTTATGACAATCATAACTTATGTAGCTGGGGCTGATGATGCAGTTATGTGAACAGACATTTTTCAGCTGTCAGCATTTTTACCAATTAAAATTATAAATTCAGACCAAGTGCCGACCCAGCTCAGCTGCCCTCTGCTGCTTCATCATCGGTAGGAGAGTGAGAGCATTTCACTGCTGCTGAGTGGAATGTCACAGTCCATGGATTGGTCCAATCGACTTGGATAGCTCTTTTTTGGGGTAGCTCATCTTCTGTCCGTTTACTTGTTTGTTCTTAGGGTTGATTAAAGATGTCTGTGATTCTCATACAATATCCTTCACAAACATAATTCTAATAAAACCCTCTACCGCTTCGTGTTTCTCCGACTGGCTTGGAAATGTTATAGTTGTGTCAGTTCATAGACATGTCTGGCTGACCTGGAATAAGCATTTTTAAAAATATGACTGTGCCAGGCTGTTGAGAGATTTAATGACAAATTCAAGCAAATTAAAGAAAGTAATGATTAGTTCTGGTCCTGGAAGCAACACAGCATGTAGTGATTTAAAATATATAATAAATGCAGTATGCCAGTTTAATGTAATACATACGTTATTTATTTATTTTGACCTATTCTGCTGTATTTTTAGCACCACTCTACTGTACATATAAAAAACGGTCTACCTCACGTCCTGCACGTTCATACAAGCCAGTATGTCATCATGCAGTAATATATATTGTCCACTTGGGGGCAGTGTAGGCCTTTTTGTTACTTGTTCCCAATCTGCTGCTAATGATAAGTGCATAAAAAACATAAATTAAACGTTTTTTGAAGTCTAATTGCAATTGAAAAGCGTAGCAAACACATTTTGAATGTTAAAAACACAGTGATGTGTGGTAAAGCATTCATTCAGTTTGTTTTGAATTTAATGTTATTTAATTTTAATAATACAGTTAGGCTGTACCTTGGGGGTCATTCAGTACTGTGTTATACCAATTTGTCTCTGATATGTAAATTAATATGATGATGATTGGTGTTTCTCTGTACTATACATAAATAATTTCATTAATTTGTGTCAGGTCGGTTTATACTTTACCGTTCTTAACTTTTTCCTTTTCTCTTTCACTCAGATTACCATGATATGATTTTGTAAGAACATCAGAATGTTAGTTGTTAGTTACACAAATGGGTAATACATTTGTTATTTTTTTGTTGTGACATTGAACTAGTGTTTGATCATATAACTTCTGATTAAATAAAATCCACATTAGTGTGATATCTATAATTACTTTCTAAGTTCAAATGCGCCATTGTAAAACATTTGCTGTATCATCACACCACACACACACGACAGCTTTTTGCTTTTTGATTTAAACTGTCGCGACAGAGCAGATGCCCCCTTTACTTGTGAACTACAGGAGACAGTTTCTAGGCCTTCACTGAACCACCAGGGGGCTCAATTTAGCAGATATGATGGAGCTATGAACTGTCCACACTTAGTTCTGCACCAAAGCCTGCTGATTGGTCCAAATACCCACATGGGGCTGAGCATTGGCCAATAGCGTTTGGGCTGATCAGGGGCTGTTGCTATGGCACTTCAGAGGTAAAAAAAAAAAAAAAATAGAAAATCTGTCAGCAGTCTGCTTCCACCATTTCACTCTCACACTCGTCTGCTGCCTCCTCATCAGCTCTGTCTGTACCTCTCGCTGTGCACTCAGGGCCGACAGCTCTGCCTCCTTTTTATTGGCCGCTGGTGGGTGAAATGAGCAGAGGAGTGAGTGGTGGTTTTGCATTGTGAGCCACAAAGAGTAGACCCTCCCTCATGAACCTAGAGCTGTAGCCCCACCTCCCCCTGGTTATCCTGTCACTTGACATTTGAGCTCAGCCAACACTAGCAGGCAGCCCTTCTGTCACCATTTCACTCTGCCTCGCTTCCCAGTTCACCCAGAAAGCTCCACCGAGAGCCACACAAATGGAGAAAACTTGTCTTGATGTCTATTGTCATTCTGTGACCTTTTCCCCCTTTAATTAAGTCATTAAATATCCTATTTTGTTAGCAGCATGGTAATGTGCATGAGGTGTGTGCATATCTTTCTGCACAGATAAGTGTACAAAGCTGAAGAATGTGGCATTCAAAGTAAAACAATGCCAACTCGCAGTGATATTGGGGGGGAAACATGTCTCTATCAGCTCGAGAAGATTCTTTTACAGCTGTGGAGGGATTTAAAATATCTCCTCTACTGTACTGGCCATGTTCCAACTCTCACTTACTCTCTCTCTCACACACATATTGTACACACACACAAACACACACACACACACAGAGAGGAAGAGGGAAATAAAGAGCCCCTCCATGCCTCTGTCTGCTGCTTTTCCCCTCCTCCTGCCTACTCACTGCAAACTGTGATAGATAAGAGATTCTCCCCCTCTCATTGGCTCCCCTCTTGTGATAGGCAGCTCGTTGGGCCCGCCCTGCCAGTCTCTGTACATGGATCGGTCGGCTGTGAGAGCCCCAGCATCCGAGAGTGGAGTGGAAACAGGAAGAGGGGGAGAGGGGAAGAAAGGAGACAGAGAGGATCGGGTGAGACAAGGTGGCGAAGAGTGAAAGAGAGGAAAAGGGGAGCAGAGAGGAGTGTGGAACAAAGAGAACAAAGACCAAAAAAAGAGGTAAAAGAGGACTACAGAGGAGCAGCTTGATGTGCTTATGGCTGAATGTAAATGTGCTGCATGCATTGTGCAGTGTGGGAGAAGAAGTGTGAACATGTATCTCTGTTTCTCCTCTGCTCTGTGTTTGTCTACATGTGTTTATTTTTCTATTTGTGTCAGTGTTCTGAGCAATCTGTCTTGGCTGAACATACTGCAGTGTGTATGTGTGTATGTGTGTGTGTGTCTGCAGACTGCTGCACGTTCATGCATGAAACCCCCACTCAGACACTCACACACACACAAACATGCTCACATGCAGTGGTCACATGCAGAGACATAGTGCAGGAGCAGAAATGTGAAATGATGAATGCAGAGAAGGAGACTGTTGCAGCTACACTTGTGTTGTGGTTACATTTGTGCTCTGTGGAATGTTTAACTGTTGAATATCAGCCTGTCTGTGTGTGTGTGTTGTTTGTTGTGTGTGTGTGTGTGTTTGTGGGAGGTGTACAGTAGTAGGAAGCTACAGTGTAACCAAGTGTGATGATTAGTCTCCATTTAAAGTAATGCCCTAACTGTGTCACATACAGCTCATAGCTCCACTGAAAGTTCAGCTCAGTGCGTTGAACACATCGACCTACCAAAACCTTTTGGCTTTGTTGTGTCTTAATAAAACAACCGGCTCAAATATTTGACTCAGACAGTTTTGAGTTAAAATAGAATAAACAAAGGGTATCTATGGTGACTGTCGCTAACGTACAACATGCACTGTACTGTATGCTTTCAGTTGATGTGATTGCCAGCTTAGGTAACCACCTGGACGTGCACTTCTAGATTACCATTCCTCACACAAGCCAGCTGTCTGACACACATACCCACATACACACACACATACACACACACACACACAAGACACTTACACACGTGCTTCTAGTGCCTTCTTTGAACCTTTTAACCGGCTACATTGTCTTTGTTCACAAAAAGCTGTACATTTTGCATTGTTTCCAAAAGACACCCCTCTTTTCTTGTTCTTGACCTTGCCTTGGTACATTCCAGTACCCCTCAGAGAGCTGTGCTTTATGGAGCATACACCGGGAGAAGCTGCTATTATAGAAAGGGAGAAGGGGATAGGGCAGAGAGAAGCGGGGCTGCAGGGATGTTATTTTTAGAAATGTGATTGATATTCGGCTCATACTGCACGTTCTTTCTCTGTGATTGTGACGCTATTTCAGGCCTGAATCCAATAAAATCATATGTGTTCCTGCATTCAGGCAGGGTGGCTTATCTGTCTGTACATTGTCGCTTGACGCTTCCCCTCCATCTGTTCTCTTCATGTCTCTGTTCCTCATGTTAGCTAGCCTAGGAGCCACCAGAGACAGGCCTGGTCTGGTGCAGCCCATCCTTCCTTTTATGGTATAGGATCAGTATCCTTACTACTTACACACACATGCACACATAAAAGTCTCAGCAAGAGATGCACAGCTGCAGTGGTTTACTGCAGCTAGCAAGTAGCTCCAGATAGTGTGAGGTACGCATGCTATTATTGTCCAAATGGGGACACAAATTGGAGTGTGTTTGCAAAACTGCAGCAGGTCTTCATTCCACAATGAATAGTTTTTATTCAGCTGGCAGAAAAGCTTTAGAAAGGTGGCAGGCATCTAGGAAGGGTGAACAGAGAAAAGAAGACACAAATGTGGAAGTATAAATTAAATCCTATAGACTCTCTACAGCCCCCCCACCCCTCTCCCTCCATGTTAAAATCACACACACACGCAAACACTCCCCTCCTTGCTTGAGGCCTTGCTCCCAGCTCTGGACTAAATGATATCATCGGTTGCCAGGGATACAAGGACACAGCGTGCAGAGAAAAGGGAGGGTGAGGCATAGGCAGAGCCATGCACATAGCCTGAAAGAGAAAGGAAGAGGCTGGGATATTGGGTATCAAGAAAGAAAAGGAGCCTTGTTGAAACAAGTAGGGAAGATAGCAAAGGCAATGGGGCAGGGCCATGAAGAGGAAAGACAGGAGAAAAGAAAGCTTGCCAGCCTGTCAAAGGTTACTGGCCCATCCTTCTTCTCCCTTCTTTCCTACATCTCATTTCATTCCTTTCTTTGTCTAGAGAGGGTCAGATTTGCAACAGTGCAGATGTGTGTAAAAGCATGTGTTGCAGGAAATGAGAGACAAGAATAGAAAGGAAGAGAATGGCAGCAATACCTGAGGGATGCAGGAGAGATACTGCCCTTGATCTGAAACAATAAAACCTTCCTGTCTTGTACATCTGGGCACCAACTGACTATGGTATTTCCTCACTCTCTCCACTGTGTGTGTCTGTGTGTGTTTGCCAGCTTGCGGAGGATGAGCGTGTCTATTTAAAGGGATCCGAGACTGCACGGGTCTGCTGTCTTGCTATTCTTGACCGGCAGCATCATCGAATTTAGACCACAGTCTTTCTCCCCCTTTTCTTTCAGTGCTGATTGCAAGGTAAGATTTGTGACAGGGGTGTGCATACACACACACACACACAAACACACAAATAAATGTCTCCAATTGACACATTGCAAACAGGATCGGTGTGGTGAAATTGTAAAAGGTTAGAGAGGCAAACAGGGGTCGGCAGGGACATGAATGGATGCATGGCTATCTCTCTGTGCTGACAGAGACATGACCAGGGTTTCCTTGGCGACAAGAGGGAGGGAGGAAGCAGACTGAGGAGTGTAGACAGCAGGTTAAAGCTAGCAGTAGGTGTCAACTAAACACCCACAAGCATAATAAATGAAAGATTCTATTTGTAAAGCATCATTTGTGCAAAAATATATGGTAAAATAAAGTTTACCCCAACAGCAACTTAACCCCTTTTGCACATGACATCATTTGGCCTTGGAGCTAAATTCCAGATGTCTGGAATTAACCCTGCACAGATGGGTTTAATATTGGAAGCACAGAGCCATTGTTGTGTGGAGTCAGCTGCTGCTGACTGCCGGCACCCCCCTACAATACTGTAAGTGTGTTCCAGTGTGCAATAGGGGAGGGTCTACAGCAGATGATCTGTCTGCTCTCTGTGTAATGTTGCTCAAATAATAGCAAGCTCAGGGTTAAAAGTACGGGTAAGGTGTAGTGTCAAAGAAACAGGGAAATTGCAATGTGTTTAAAACTGTGGTAACACTGCGCAAACCGTGAAAGACAGTATACAAGCTGTTGGTATGAATTAAGCAGATAGTGAAATGTATCGCAGTTCAGGCTCGACAGTGACGTGACATTAATACAAGTTGCCATCCTGGGACTCATACTCAAATAGGCAAGTCTGAGAATAAAGTTGTGAAACCATGATCTGAGCAAAGACAGATTTAAGCAGTTGATGAAGAGGTTATTTTAGCATTAGCAGAGAATTATAGTAGCTCAGGAAGCTGGTCTCTCAAAGAGCAGATTTTAGTGGAACATGAGGTGATATGAGGATTACAGTGGCTATAACCAGACACACTGTGTCTATTGTACATGATGACATACAGTGCTGTATGTTAGGATAAAGGCATGCAGTCTTACTTTACTGTAACGTACCATTGTATGTACATGAAGGCCTTTTTTGCCCTCTTTCCTCCAAAAATAAATCTAAATGCAGTTAACTCTAAAAAGCCTAAAGCCACAGCAGCAAGAACAGTCTGGCTTCAGTTGCTCTAGCAACTGGTTGCAAATGGACTGTTGAGGAGGTGGCTCACTTAGCTCATTCAGCACTCACAGAGAGGTTATTATAGCACAGCTGCAACCGTCTTACCACAAACAAACCTGTATGAAACAAACGTGTACCACTAGGGAAGTGGTAAAATGCACAACAGTTTTTCATATTATTTATAAATAGCTGTGGGAAATGAATGCATATAGAGGTGCAACCTGTCTCTAGTAGAGAAATGCACTGTTCAGCATGCAAAGTTAATCTGTATGAGATCAGCTCACTTTAACACAATGTATAGTGTTGAAGTGTAAGGCAGCAGCAGTAGAGACAGTAAGAGGTCTTTTTCCGTCTATGATAAAAGAGGTGACCTGTATGCAACTGTATTCTATTTAAATCAAAAAGAGTGAAAGAGGCAGATGAGGCAGACGAGGCTAAGTGTTAGAAATTGTGGTCAGACAAAGTGAACACCAGAGACACAGCCAGACAAACACCTGATCTGCTATAGTGGTTCAGTACACAGCGGGCAGCTATACAGCTCACTGTTCTCATACCATAGATCTACTGAACTAGCATTTGATGATGAACCATGAGACACTGGATGGAAGATGTGTGCTGTTGATTTGACCACCAGTTCTGTCAGAGTTATCAGAATCAGAGCTTATACTATATACTATACTGTGAGAAAAAGACAGCAGCAGCCCAACCAGTTTTTTTTTCTCTGCCTTTCTTTGTTCTTAAAGTGAGGTTGCCATGGTCCTTTGTCGTAGTGCCATGTTTTTTTTTTCTGTCATTGGATGGCCACTGGCTGTGGCAACTGCTGGGTAGCAGTGATTAGAGAGAGGCTGAATGCACAATGTAGCTCTGGCTGACTGATGATATGACCGCTCCACAGATACAGTGCAGCAAAAAAAAAAAAAAAACAGCGTGAGGAAATAAAATCTACCACAGAGAGACAAAATCATACTCTCGATGTCAACAGACCCACAGAGATAAAAGGTGTATTTGTTATTAACCCAGAATAAAAGCAATACTGTGTCGACATGGTATGGAAATACATGTTTCTCTCTCTCTAGTCAGATATGGATGCATCTCTCAACCATGTGTATTGTCCACAGGCTGTTTTTTGCTCTCAGGTGTGAAGTGGAGGGCCTCCCAAACACAGACCAAGACTGGTAACCACAGAACATTTCTGCCTCTGTACTTTGTGTGTGGCTGTTTAAATGCAACATATACTTCAGTATGTGCACAACTGTAGCACTTTATAGTATTACAGTAGTACTACATTAAAGTTTTACATTGCAGTACTGCAAAGGCACTGGGTGTCCAATTAAACAGTCATGTGAAGCTTTTTCAAATAATGAATGAGTGAGTAGAGCAGTCTTCTGAATAAGCATCCAGGAATTAAAGCATCCCTTCATTTGAGTTATGCATTGTGTACATGTAAGAATTACTCACAGATTAAAATGACTGCACAATGCAAAGGTGTGGGCATTGTCCTTGCATACGCTAAAATTTGATTGGTTGAAAGTGCCAGCACTTCCATATTGCATTTTATGTGGTCAGACTTTCTTTAAATGAGATATCATTTTTATTTATTTGTTCATTTATTTATTAAAAATCTGAACACCATGCACATTAAACAACATCTGTCTTTCAGGCTGCATGTATCACCCAGCAGAGCTGTACTCTGGCCGAAACACATGGGACTCCTATCCAGCTGGAGGTCCTAACAGAGGACAATGGGCTCCTGTAAACAGTCGCCCCTGGAGCCACACACAAAGGTCAGCAGCACCTTCATATACACATAGTGTTTGCACAGTGTTATCTTTTATATGATGGACAGTAGTCTATTCGCAGGGTCACCATGTACCATGGTACAGTTTTTTTCTCATGATCATGCATTATGTTTTGTCATGAACATCAACCAAGACTTCTAATAAGACTACAGTAACCTTGCAGTCAAAGGTGACACTGTTGGCCTTAACAGTTAAAAACACAGATGCAATAGAAATGCCTTGCACACCTAGAGAGTTGGAAAAAAATACATTAAATTTAAACTCAGCGGATAGTGGAACAACTTGAACTTCCCCGGCAAAGGTCATTCCAGCAGGTGGGACTTCAGCCTTTGTCGTCTGGGTTGATTCAAGATAAGCACCACTTTAAAGGACTAACTGATTAACTGAAACTGTGATGAGGATATTCATGAAAAGCTCTTACTACAGCTGCAGCTGTGAGCATTAGCCCATCTGCAGTTTAAACAAGCAGGACTCCGGTGAATGAAGCTATAACTTCCTCAGCTGCAGCTCAGAGAAGCCTCAATCTAACTGTTCAGCTGCAGCAGTTGAAGTTGGCTCGAGTTAATATGATTGTATCTGTAGCTGTCTGGTTGTGTGTCTTTTGGAAATGCTAGTAGTTGTGACTGATAAAGAGGTGTGACATAGACACAACCCTTAACTATATACAATACACAAACTTTATAGCATATAACTTGCAATGAGCAACACTGTACTGTAGGTTCAACTAGCTAAGAAAGGTCAAATTAAAGACTTTGATAAGTAATAAAAAGTGAACGAATAGCAATTATTGGGTTATCCAGTTGTCTGTTTAGAAAGTTGACAATGACAACATAACTCTTTGGGGTTTAAGATACTCTAGAAGCACTTTATTAACAAGTTATGCAAATGTATTTTATATTCAGTGAGGTCAAAGAGGTTTATTGCTACAAAAGTGGATGTTTTTTCCTTATAGGATATTAAAAGAAGTCACTAAAAGACGCAGAAAAAGAAATTCCCTTGAAGTAACATCTCACATTTGAGACGTTAATGTTATGCTTAGGAACCTTTGATTTTGACATTCAAAGAAAGAACACTTGAAAAACTGAAAACCAGTCAAGAGTAAGTTTGGCTTCTACATGACTTCTAGCCACGACCAACAAGGCTTCCTATATAGAGTTCCTTAATTTGTTATATCTGCATGAGCTGTATATTTTCAACTCTCAGCTGCATTATTGTCTTCAGACAGTAGATATTTTCTGTATGTTTTTGTTGTTACTACAGATGCCAAGAAGGGCGCAATCAATCACATCATTTACCATCAAATCGTCTTTATAATAGGTGAGTAAATCAGTATTTAAACATCATTCGTACATGGACAGGTAATCTCAAAATAAGTTACATACTGCAATGCATCACTTGGATTAATAAAGCATGGCTTTTTAAAACAGTTGAAGAGACAACTTCACTTGCTTCTTGAGCTGCAGAACAGTTGCCCCCAGGGATATATATTATATATATTGATATATAAAGTCCCATTTGTGTCATGTAGTTGCATCATTGTTTTGAATCAATCAATCATGATACTTGTTGCTGAGTTCCATTGGTCTTTTGCTTAGGGGGGAGAGAACCATCAACCATGTCCAGGACAAGGGTATTTCTAAGGGGCACAGACAGCCTCTACGTCTTTGGGATGGTAAAGAGCGACCGTTTGAGGCCCAGAACTGGCATCGCAACTCCACACGCTCATTCCACACCCGAGCTGGCACCAACAACGGTTATCTAACAGGACCAGGAGATCGCTACGCAAACTGGGACAACAATGTTAGCAACTCTGTGGTGAGACCTGCAGATCTGGAACAACATTACTTTCAAAAGAGTTCATGTTGTTATTGAAACTATGAGTGTGTAATCATTTGAGTTTTTGATTATTGTCTACCTTTTTTTCTATTTGACTGTTAGCATGGGGGTCCTCGCCTGCATCACAACAACAGAGACCTCCAGTCTCCACCAGAAAGATGGGCCCCTTCAGACTGTCGCAGGAGCTTTCCAGGCAGAATGATAAACAACACACCAGGACCCTGGAAACGGCCAACCCTCCACCAGCGGCGAGACCAACTGCACCAGCACAGTCCACCTCCACAGCACCCTTTACCCTCTAGGGAAGAGTGTCCGGCCAAGAGGAGAAGGGACTCTTGCCCTGATCAGGTAAAGTTTCTTTCCTTTGTTAAAGTAAATTTCTCTCCTGTAGTGCCACCCATTGGTAAAATACCATCTATGATGGGATATTTATGCTTCTCTGTTCAGTCGTCTCATCCTGGATCAAGGCATTTACCTTTACTTGCCCATGCCCCATCACCACCTCGCCACCACCGCTGCAACCAAGATGACTGGAAGCCTCTTAATGACCGAGGGGGTCCTTGTCACCACACTGACCACAGGACCTCAACAACACAGCAACAGGTAAGCTTGTATAACGAGTAAATCATTACTAAATGTTGATCATTATTAATTTCTATTGTTGGTTTTGAAATTTGCAGGAAACCTCTAAACTGCGAGCTGGAGGGCATGGCTTCAGTAACAGTAATCTAGCAGCTCTAAACCAGAACTGTGGCAGCAGACCACCACATCATGGAAGCAGAGGGAAGGTCGACCGGAAAATCTCGTCTTCACCAGCAGACCACACCCGTGTGCCTTACAGCCACCAAAACCATCATTACCACTATCAACGGCACACAGGCCACCCCAGAGCCCTACAGCACAACCCATCGCTACACCCTCTTGAGGAAAAGGACTCACGGATTTATCACCACAAACAAAGCACAGTAAGAAATACACATTAAAAAGCATGAACACACATCTCTGTCTTAATCAGACTTTCAGCATACTTTCAAGTTTTCTATTACACTGTCTTTGCTCTTACTAAAAGGTAGTGTGTCCACATCAATATTTGTAATTAGTACACGGAAATAGTAAATTAGATATTCAATTCAATTCAATTC